CAGCCCAAGGTCAGAACACTACTTACTGCAAGTAAAAGACAGCTTATTGCAAGTATAGGCTCTAGAACAGAAGTAACTGGAGATAAAGAAGATAGCAACAGCGAGACGATATCATAAACTGTCACTTGTCACACAGACGGTGGACCCGTTGTAAGTTGGAGGCAAGACAAAGTTGCTAAAAACAGACATGAAAAAGGCGATGTCTGGTGAGGAAGCACAGTTCATGAAATCATCCCGAAATTACATAAGTTGCACTATCAAACCACAGCCGAATGTTTGAGAATTTAGACGAAAAAGCAACAGAAAGGCCATCTTAGAAACTGTCACGTGCCACGCAGATGGTAGATCCCGTTGATAGTTGGAGGCAAGACAAAGTTGCTGAAAACAGACATGTAAGAGGGTAGTCTGGTGAGAACGCACAGTTACTAAAATTACCAACAAGTTGCGTCAAAAATCCAACCCGTAAAGACCCTGTTCGGTTTTCGGTAGGAAAATCAAAGCCTACTCGAAATTTCGCAGCATTTCTTGTACTTCTTCTTCTTCTTCGCGTTCACCAGCTGTACACTCTGGCGTAAAGTTCTGGTTGTTCGTCCACTTCTGGACTGCAGTCCTGCTCCAGAACCACTAATTTGAAGCGTCTGTCCGTATGTTGTCGAGACCTGAATGTTCTGCGGTGCAGGGTAAAACAATTGTCCGGTGCCCGGTACAAATTTCTTTGCCGTCGTGTTGTCTGGTTGCGGTACTTGGCTGCCTATTGCGGTGTCATCTCTGCTTTTACTTGCGACACTAAATGGACAAACTGAATTCTCTATTTTACCGGTTGTACAGCCGCCTTTTCTATTCTTGATAGTTTGACTTCTGGTCGAATTTTTTTTGAAGAACGGCGCAAAGTGCCACGTGAGCCTGGGCAGTTTACGTGACCTTTTCAACCTTTGGCACACGTGAGGTTATAAACCATCCTCAGGATGTTCACTGGTTGGTTGTCTAGAAGATAATGTGTCTAGTGAATGATCTTAGCACACGTTCTTAAGATGACATAACTGGGACAAGCCGACACCAACTTTAAAGTACGATACAGTTTATTGACATTTCATCACTTACATAGATTGTCCCGTCCGTGTCCTAATTCACAGCTTACACGCACCACATTGTTCAGACGCCAACACGCTGACTTCTCACACATTTATCAATCAAAGTTCGGCGCCTTCAGTTCCACATCGCCGCATAGATGGATCTGGTCATTGCAGCAAGCTTCACACAACTTGGCTTGGCCGAACTTTGCTCTGATGGATGTTGTCGTCTGCTCTTCCATTCGCAACAATCAGTTTCCCGTTCTCACTCTCACGAACACTCTCACGTCCTCTCGTTCTGACGGTCAACACATACTAACTTGACCAGACTGGGGTCAACATAAACCCAGTGTTCGTTCCACTAGGCAACACGTGGTTGTTCTTGGGTTTCACGTGGCGACCTGTGGGCGTTCTCTTTTAGTTCCACGTGATAACTCGTGTTCGTCCCCTATCTTGAAAACCTATGTTAATCCGAGTATCTGGCTTCTCTCTGTATTATTGTTAGTTTGGGGATTCCCCCCTAACCTTCTCAATCAGGGTGAAAATATCCCCAATTACAAAAACTTCTCATTGAAACACAAAAGTTCAATGTGGAAACGTTCCTATGAATTCTAGACACTCTAATCTCTAAATCGACAATACGTACAGATGCATATTCACATATTTATTTGTTTTCTTTATTCGGTGACTTGAAAACGATTGCTTCTGATAAATTGTGTGATTTTTCCTGCACTGTAAAGGAAAAATCATTTTGAACAGTTTCGTATGTTTTTTCCAGATGTTGAAACTGCACGATTGTTGCTGTGTATGACGTTAACCAACTGTAGAGGACAACGTTCTTTTTCAAGATTGAAATTTAAAAAAAAAATTCGGGGGGGGGGGGCAGGGCCTCTGTGATTCAGTTGGAAAATGATATAATGAAGACCATTAAATTCTAGCCAATAATAAAGGAACTGACTCATAAACAGCATCCTGTCCCGAAAGTTGAAGTATTTTGGCCACATCAAATGTCAAGGTGGCTTGGAAAACACGGTGACAGAGGATGCAGTTTGTGGAAGCGAATGGCCGTAACTATCCCCACACTTTAGACTATTCTTGACCCTGGCGCCCCTAGTGGCGGTCACATTCAAAAATCGATCCGCCCGGTGGGTACATAGTCAATCATGTCTATTTGCACCTTTATGTGAGGGAATACATTTTTCTATATGGTCTGAATTTCTTGAAATGTCTACATTTTCAAACTCACAGTTGAAAGTTAGAGATTCTTTGTGTTTTTATTCTTAATCCGAGACAACGATTGACGACCTCGGCGTATTAATCGGCTCACTCCTTTTGCTAAAGCGAGGACACAGATTCCCCTCTCATTCTCTTCTGGACTGCCAAGCAGAACTGTTGTTCCTAAAAGTACTTCTAAAATGTATACTCCTAGAAGGCGGCTTTTGTGTCCAGAACATTTCCTAAAGCTTGGGTAAGTCTATTATAGTTTACGAGTGCCATGTATCTATATCTCTAAATATTTAACCCGCTGCTGAGGAAAGGGATGATTCGGCTATGAGATATTACAGAGAAAGATTGTTCTTGGTGTCAAAATACTCCCGGCCACCTAAATCAAACCTTCCCCTTTTCACGCTGAGAGTATGTGCACTATCAAACCCAACATTGGTATTAATGATTTAATCTAGCAGTCCAATCGTACCATAACTAACAAGTTGTGAAAATGGATGGCGACATAGAAGCCGGCAGAATTAAATGCTTTAGCGCACAGCTTCCCCCCACGGCGAGAGACACAAAGTGACGTCAGGTTTTTTTAAAATAGGAAACTCAGACACAACACAGAGTACCTTGAAGGCTAGGGTCACACTGTGGAAAATATAACATGCATATGTGGGTGAGTGCTAGTCTGTGTGACTACATGTGCAGATGTGGATGTGGAGAGATGATGTTCTCTATCTGAGAGGAGTCTGTCTGTCTCTACAGTAGAACTTGTCTCATGTCTCTTATCCTGACTGACTGACACTGTACCATGGAGACTAGTACAGTCTTCTTATCCAGAGAGCTGTCCTCTGAGCTATATATATATATATATATATATATATATATATATATATATATATATATATATATATATATATATATATATATATATGTGTGTGTTTGTGTGTGGATGGAGTTAAGCAGGTACTAGGCATATGAGTTGAAATCACTGCTAATTCTGGTGTTCCACTTCCTCACAGGATGATAGCTCCTTGGAGGCCATAAAGCCACCCGCTTGAAAGGCACCAGCTTGAAAGCCACCAGATTAAAAGCTACCAGCTTGATTGCCACGAACTCTTATGTGCCACCGGCAGCCAGAAGACTGCACCATGGGAGCCTGTTGACGACTCTGTTCAGACAGCTCGGGAGCAGCCATTGTTTCAGTGGGAGAGGACCATATCCAGAGAGCCACCTGGAGAAGCCGGATAGTGCCTACCATTTGTGGTGACCCATTCTTATTTAACAACATATCAGATAGAATGACATTTTCTCCAAGTACAGTTCCTGAGATGCTGAGGAGCCAACCAGTCTAGTGGCTTTGTTCCAGACGTCCCCGTTGGTGCGATGCAAGTGTTGCTGTGGACCAGACTCAGAGCAAGATAAGTCCTTCAGAACTCAGTGCCTGGATCATAGATTCTCTATTCTCACATGTGCCATGATGATCCTGGCAGCTCTCTGGAAAAAAATGAGTGTCATTATGTCAATCAATTCGTAATGCTATTGAATTAGTTTTTCCTGATTCATGATGTTTAGGTTGAGCTTATTACATGTCTTTGGAATTTGTCAACATTGAAGTTAGTGTCCATCCTTCATTGTTCTTAGTTGCCTGAAGTGTGTGTGGCAATATATTAGATCATATTCTGTGCTAACATGCCTATGGCATAAACTATTATAGTCTGGGAGCAATTTTCCTGTAGTAGTGGGGATGCCCAGCCAAGTTACGCCTAGGAATATATATATTCTATAGTGTCATAAGTTGTGTTGAAACACCCCTGAAACAGGTTGAATGTGTATATTGGCCGCAGTATACCGCCTAGACCGATACGAGCCGACATCCCAACATTTATACTATTTCAGAGTGCTGTTGATTCATGAGGAGAAATCCCTATTCAGGCACGTGACACGAGCTGTATGTGACAGCGAGGCAAGGGTCGACATACGCGAATATGGATGCAAGATATTGAAGATGCATTGGCATTGAAAGCCCTTGAGAT